TGATAACCATTTTGAAATTACTGTAATCCTGTTTGTGTGTTTTGTTTCGATAACGTCTCTCCTGATCTCAAAAAAGGCGTTCATGGGCACCAGTCGCAAAAATATGCTACGGACTGCAATTTAATTTGGGTGTTGCTAGCACTAATAATGTAAAGTTTCACTCGCTAAATGTTCCAGAATTATCGGAGGTGTTGTGGGAAATGGTACTTGTACAAGCATTTGGGTTATCTGGTATCGCGGGTTATATCGCCGCGTATTTTATTTTCTTCGCATTTGGTGTCCTAACTGTTTCCATTCTCGTACTTATGGAAGGGCTTTCCGCTTTTCTGCATGCACTTCGTCTCCACTGGTTTGTTTTTTTGATTTAACAGGTGTTAAAATGTGTTTAAATTTAAGTTGAAGCGATTATTCGAAAAATAAAACAGCAAAATTTGAAATATCTGAAATTAAGCGATGCAACTGCCACATAGAGAGAAGCAGAGACACCGCATCTGTCAGAAAAGCCCCATTTTACAAAATAAAAATAAATAAAACGAATTTGAAAGCATAATCCAATCAGCTGTACTTTCAGGGTGGAATTCCAGTCAAAGTTCTATCTCGGACTTGGCTATCCGTTTATGCCTTTCTATTTCAAAGAAGTACTGGCGAAAGCAAGCGCGGCTTCTGATTCCTAAAATCGTATAGAATGAGCCGCTGCCACTGCTGCTGACTCCGTAATAGTGCGTAATAACAGCTAGATCTGAGTGAAAAACGATTAGATTTGTTGCTCACGATATCATTTTTAATCAACTTTAGCAGCAACATACCGAATAAATACGCGATCAAGACGAGCTCAGAAACATTTTACATGACAGATTCTTTTGTGTGGAGGAGGCAAACTGAGAATATACGTGTTCCGTAATGCCAGTGGCTTGAAAAATTCGTGAAATTTGTAACTTATATCAAAACACAAACACAGTTCACAGCAAATTCAGCAACAAGGAAGGCTATGAATCAAGAAATATTCAAACTATGCGTCTCACTGGGGTGGATCAGTTTAAACGAAACAGTTCTAGTT